TCTCGAGACCGCAGCAGCCGTGCCGTCGGGCATACTACACCCGCCTCCGATCTGTGCAAAGATGAGTATAACAAACAAAACCTGGCGATACTGTAAGCATACCGTTTAGGACAGATTGGAGAATTACACACACACTTTACACATAATATACCTACAGAAAACTTTGTCCTCATTCAGACAAAAATTAATATAAAAACATTGCGTTATTCAACATAATATTTTTTCCCTTACCTGTTACATATAAGGTAATTAAATTTATCTTTATTATCTTAATTATTACAGCTATAATATAGCATTTATATTTATAGTGAGAAAACATGTCAACTGTAAAAAATACAGTTCTACGAAAAGATATAACGCCCTAAAACACGAAAACAAACAGCGACGTTTGTTAGCGGAAAAAAAATGACTTACGTACTATTCGTGTCGAAGCACAGATAACACGCGTAACCACGAACCACAGTTGCATAGAATGCTATGATCTTTAAAACGCGTTTTACCAAAACGTGCGATTTTAAACCGCCGAATGTACAAATGTTCAAATTATAAAAATAGTTGGTTATCATACGTGCGGTGACTCCGATGATGTCACTGGAATGAACTCATCGCTCATATCAAAGCTTCATGGCGTGTATAGTTGCACCATGTTTGCACTAGTTCTTTACGATTTTTATATTCACAATATAAGCAATAAACTGTGGTCCAGATAGACCCTTTGGGGTAAAGAGATTACCCGACAGGGTCACATCATACTAATATTATAAATGCGAAAGTTTAGATTGATGGATGTTTGTTAGAGTTTGTTGCCTATATGGCTGAACGGATTCTGATTAAAGCTAAAAATATAGGCGATAGAGTGGAAGAACACATAGGACTTACTTTTGTTTTTTTAAATTTCCAGACGGACAGAGTCACGGGCGAAAGTTAAGTATGAAGATGTTTAGGAAATTTTTAATTTCGAATCAAAATATATTTTTATGGGTTATGATTTTCACCGCACTTGTACTACGTATAATCTTCAATTCGTGGAATGAAGTTAAAAACGCAGTGTTTACTATTTATAGCAGCAAATGCAGAGACGCAGCGCAGCTCAGCCGCGGTTGTGGATTTCATTCATCAGTCGATCATTGAACTCAACACGCCCTACAAAAGCTCCCTTAAGTGTGTTCACGTAATGTTATGAAACATTACAAACCTTACTGGGATTATTCCTTTAAGTGTGATGCTATTTCTACAGTCTTCTTATATGAAAAAGACTAATAGATTTGAGTAATTGTCGCCAAGGTCTAAATTTGACCATAATTCAGTATTAATAATGCTTAATTATTTACTTTCTTTGTATGTACTTATACACTAACTGAGGTCACTAAGGTCTAATAATATAAACAGGAAAGATTTGTTTGTTTTGTATATATTGAAATAACTCAAAAACTACCTGGCAGATAAAAAAAAATTTCACCAATAAATAGCTACGTTATCACTGAGTAACGTAGGCCATATTCATTTAAAAAAATATTTCCTCGTGGACACAGACGCGAGCAATAGCTAGTCTTTACAAATATTATAAAGAGTAAAGATTTGTATTTTTGTATGTAATGAAATATCACAAAAACTACTGAAGCGATTTCAAAAATTCTTTCACTAGTAAAAAGCTACGTTATCAGTGAGTAACATAGGTGACTTCTTTATTATTTTATAGTTTCATGCGGGCGAATTCGCGAGCTACAGCTAGTTATTTATAACAGCAGAGGTATCTTAGTGTAAGGGGACATTCAGGTTACATCATACACTTGTAAGATCAATACGTATTGAGATGATTTGCAATTTCCCAGTGCGTACATCCAAGCTCTCTAATCATACGAAGCTTTCACATTTAATGCATCATTACTCAGCATTGTATAACGAACATTTTGTAATTAACTATAATCGTTCACGTAATTTCATCAAATTTCGTATTGGTTATACTGAACCTGGAGTTCCAGTCAACTATTGCAAAAATATATTTATAAACTATATTTTTCTTCGCAAAACGCGTTTTTAAAAAATACTGTACTATAGTTTAAGATCTAATTATTTCAGATGACGATTACTATTTTAATCCTAACAACGACGCATGTTTCAAAACATATTAAAAACTTTATTAAAAAAATTAACCTATCTGCAACAAAATTACTGTAATAAAAGTCTGATGATGTAACTATTAGTCATTAAAATGCAGCATATAATTCCAGTAAATAAATAAACATAACGTTAACACTTAACAATTCTTAAGTTTCCCCATACAAATACATTGTCATCCTTGTTGTTCTCATTGTGCAAGCTGAGATAGCGATAAATTTAATCCGGGTGTAGCCACAGTGGAAACGGACGATTTAAACTGAATAATGCATTGTATTCGCACTCTTAGCGTCTGCCCTGGCTCTGGCCCTGTCGGACTGGATGCCACAATCCACAATGGAGCATTTTATCAAACGTTTAACTTGAATTTAAGCTTTGTTAAGTTTATCGCTTCATCTTGATGTATTAATAGCTCTTTAATAGTTAAGTTAGTGATAAGTAACTGACGCACTACTTGATATAAATTTTACTTATGTTCTATAGTTTTGTTTATTTGTTAAATGTTAATAGTCTGGAAAGCCGTGTTTTTTATGTATTACCTTATTAACAATTTTAAGGACGACGAAAAATCGTACTTGTTTTAGTGATAATTTACTATTTATTTGGTTTATAAACATAAAGGTGTAGAAATATTAACTTTTTAATTTTTACATTTTTAAATTATCGAGATGATTAAGGAGTTTTACTCCAATTTAAAATTAGAGGTTCTTTAATCAATTTAAATAATTTAAGCAAAATAGCAATAACAAAATACGCATAAAAATCCGCATTCTTTTTAATGATTTACAATCTGGATGTAATCCAAGAAAAATGCTCGTGTACTTTGAGAATTCGCGAACAATTTTACAACCATCGACTTCCGCAAACTGAAGTATTACGAAAAAAAAATTCCTTGACTCATATTTTATTTTAAGATCTTGTATAGTAAAACTTAACAACGCGTAATAACTATGGGTTTTTTCATCACTCTTCTCTTCATCACTTATGATGATCACAGAACTGGGTGATGGGATCACTCACACATCGATAGCGTCCTCATGAGTGTAGCCGTCGTCAGCGTGGTAACCGTTCTCGGCGTGGTATCCCCTGTCGTCCTGATGGCAGAGTACCAGGGCGGCAGTGCACAGCAGGAGCGCGGCGCGGGCCGCGTGCTCGACCGGCGCGCGCATCGCGACCGACTGCGGTTCTGCGCCCGCGCGGATATGCGTTTCGATAGTGATAGTCAAACTTTTTTTATTTTCAATTTAATTTTACTCGTATATAGCGACAGACTATTAACTGTTATTATGTTTATAGCTGTCGCCCGAGAGTCAGTCTGCGCGAAATTAGAAAAAAATAGTTTTCTATGCCTTCTTCAAGACTATGTTCATTATCTATGCCAAATTTCGTCCAAATCCGTTGAGCCGTTTTGGATAAAAGTAGTAACAAACATCCGTCTATATTTTCTCATCTATACTATCTACACTTGCATTATAAAAAGAACGAGGATTTGTATTTTTGTAATTTTGTATAGATCGAAATAACTCAAAAACTACTGGACCGATTTTTAAAATTCTATCTAATTTTAATAAAAAGTATTACACCTACTTGTGTTTATAAAATCTATATCTATACTATTATAATAAAGCGTAAACACACTTCTTTGTTGCCTAAGATGTCAGCAATTACAGCATATTTTTGAATAGTTCTTTTTTTAATAAAAAGCCCTACACTGACGTCACGCTTTAGACTATATATTTTCACGCCATTAAACTTAGGGGGTAAATATTTTGGATAAAAACCTTAATGTGGGAAAGAGACCATAAGTTACTGCCAACATCAAGGAAGCAAAATTGCCATGCTTTGTCATGTCTGTCGTTTTGACATTTGCAATTGAATTTGACAAATGTAATCAATAAAACAATTTTCATAATTTCATGCGGATAAAGACGCACGGGAACAGTTAAAAAGGTTATAATGAAGGTAATTGATGCTCCCACAAAAATAGTAATAAAAACGTTTTTCAATTAGACATGTCTGAAATGGCAGTTATATCGCCGAGTGATTCACTATTTAATTCTGGACTAATAGAGTGAGCAAATGCATCGCGACCCATTTAGCGTAAGACGATGCCTTTATAAGCAATACAAAGGACTATTCATCAATTAACTGTGAGGGTTATTAGTGCATATTCCCCATGAGTTCATAAGCCGACAAATAAAAAGCTTTTCTATTACGGATTGACTTACTTATTTATGCAGGGTTAAAAAAAACTTTCCATAACTACATGTAATAATGAAATAGACTGTTATAGGCTTTATTTGTATTTATTATTTTACTTCTAACTTACACTTACTAATATTGTAAATGCGAAAGTTTATTTGGTTGGATATTTGTTAGAGCTTGTAGCCTAAACGGCTGAACGGATCTCGATAAAATTGGGCACAGACGTGGAGGATAGTCTGGAAAAACACATAGGCTACTTTACTTTTGTTTTGTTAATTCTATCCGGACTAATTGCGGGCGAAAGCTAGTTAAAAATAAATTGATACATTTCTAGTTGTATCGCTAAACATTTACAGCCTTTTTTAGCATATTCCATTAAAGGGTTTCTTTTACATACGCTATTAACTTTATGGTATAAAAAAATATAAAACGGTCCACCGATTTTGCGAGTATTGTAACAGAAAAATACTCCAATAAGTTTGACAGTCGCTGTCCGGCTAGTTCTGGAAATAGACTCCAGTGCGTAACATTACAGTAGGCAAGAGTCGTTGCTAATTCCAGGGACGATCGTGCGTGTACACTCTGGGGTGACCATACTCTGTGCTAGAAAATCTTAGCATTTAGTGATTTGATACTAACTTAAACTAAGTAAAAGTTATATTCAAAAGGATACTTACAACTAGTTTAATTATTAATTTATAAGGTATTATTATTTTTGTAATGTACTTGGTAGTTTTCTTTTAAATAACAAAACAGCGTTTTACAAAACTATACTTAATACTGGTTCATGTCAAACTGTCATATTTTTCTGTTTATTTTAATAACCAAATTATAAGTAATAATAATCTATGACCTTATAGGTTGGTTAGTTTATTTAATTGACCTATCAGATATCAGACATTACTAAAATTTAGTAAATTTTTATGTTCCTGAATTAAAGATATTCCTTGTAAATAATAACTTTGGTACTTTTTTACGACTATATAAAAACAAACATGTAATTTTAATTTTTAAACATTAGAATTAATAAAATAAATGTATAAAGTGTGGAAACTTTGAGAACAAGTGTTATTTTGATAGCGTTATCTAATGACCGAAATTATGCGTTCCATTGTAATAAATACATTGTTTTATTAATGTTTCATTATGCAATTTATTTATCTAACTAATATGACAGGACTTCCGAGGGAGTGTAATAAACATGCAGAATATCGGCTTATAGGAGAAAAAAAATAATGATTTAAAAGCTTAAGATAATGATTACATTCCAAGCACTGTCTTGTGCTATTATTTCGTATTTCAAAATATTTTCTTATCGCATGGGCGGCTGTTCTGTATAGACCATAGGGATTTGCTACATTCGGTGGCGAACACATAGTTCAAATTTCGCTGCCCGGGTTAATGCGGGTAGTCAGTGCATTTTTATTTTCTAGAATTCTCTCGGTAGATTTGAATCCCTCACCGGTACGGGCGTGTGCGAGAGAAAAAGTCATATGCAAGCAGTCAAGCGAGTCATTCGGTTACCAAAGTGGAAGTTCAAAGGTCATCGGAAGTGGTTACTTCTCCGACATCGCGAAAGACACAACGGGCGTGTTATTTATAGTTAGCTAAAGGGATCTCGTGTAATTCGATTTCGGGTTTAGGACAATAACGGTATACACGGGTGCATCTACAGGTAGCATCGCTGGCGCCAATAGACATGACAGAACTAGACTTGACTCGATTGACACCGACAGAGACCAGGCACCTGCAGGAGGTGAGGCGGGCAACGTTCTGGTGAGTACCATTATATCCTTTATCTTCCCCACTGTTCATAATATTATACTCTCCGGCGCATGCCTAGTCTAAAGGACATGAACCCATTTTGTACAGCACAGTGCTTAATAATTTTTTACAGTTAATAATAATACTTGTAGAGTTTTATTCGGTATCATGGTTTAAGCCTAATTATTAGCCAAGCCTAGTAATATACTTAGGTAGAATTTATACTAATGATGATATTTTGTGATGAATCTTTCGTTCTATAAAAATGTCTGATTAGATTTTTGTCTCAACGCAAGTGAGGCCACACTAAACGTAATCCGGAGATATACGGTTTGTTTACATTGGCGCAGCTCAGGGCCAGATCCGTCGGCCCACTGCCACACTGCCGGTGCCGGTTGCAACATGTACACTAACCTTTACACATTTATTTTTAATCCGCTGTTATCTGTAAAAAATGCTGGCTGGTTGCGAATTCTTCCTAGAAATTCCACAGCCGTAAAAAATGCATCTAAATTAACATTCACCGACCTCCTCAAATGGACAGGCTATAAACCGTGACTATTTACTCCAATCAAGACAAATTCAAGTAATGGCGGGATTTGAACACATGACCACATCAGATGGACTCTTAACCATTAAGCTATTGGCGTTTTAAATATATTTTTACATCTATTATGTTAAATTAATCCTACGCTATACAAATGACGTAGGAACATAAATAATTTATTATTCCTATTATGGTAGGCGACAGACCATTCAGGAATAATGAATTTCTAATACTTGAATTACTTATAAAAATTGGATTTTTTACTATAGCAGTATAAAAATGTATACTTGTCGATTTGGCTGACTGGCCGTTAATGGTAAATGTTCTACGGAAAGCAACAATAAATCCAAACACAAACATTTGTGGCAAAAAAAAATGCGAAAGTTTGCTGAAAAACGTTAGTAAAAAACTGTTTAAATGTCACCTAACATAGTAATCAATTATTTATCATCTAAGGACATTTTTAATCCACTAAACTTTTAAAATAACAAAGAATCTTTTTTTATTGAACGAATTAACTTCCATTGAAAAAAGTCGCCAACATTTTACTTTCATTTGAACGCGTCTCTCGTCCGAACCACATCGTTCTTTGGTGGACGCTTCTTTCGCAGATAAAAAAACTTTTATCCTAAATAAATATTTTTACCCTATTTAAAAAATCAAATGTCTTTTATAATACAGATTCTAGTTTTTATTTTATTGTTCTATGGTTTGGTAGTTTCTGTGACGTCACATTATGATTCCTGGTTACCAGGAGAACATAGCTATCATAGTTTACACAATGGTCTGGAGACGTCAAGGGATCTCATCGACGAGTGGACTGTGGAAGTGGAAGGCGGTGACCAGGTCGCCCAGCTGATCGCTTTGCAGCTTGGTTACGCTTTCGAAGGACCGGTGAGCTTCTTATGTTTTCCTAATACGTGACAAAAACATTTATAAAGAATATTTTAATTCTTAGCTAAGCTTTTAAACGATTGTTGAGCCTTAAAAAGCTAAACAACATCTCTTTTGAAATAATTAAGCAAACTTTTAACGTAATTTTAAAGCTGCTAATGTTTACGTTATTAAGTTTTAGTCAGCGAATTACACATTATCATATAAGCTAATTAACTTCAAAGCATGGTAAAGAGGAGGCGCTGTAAAAATCTCGTTCAGGGCCTTGATGGCGCTGAAATAAGTACTGTCCAAAGGCATTTTACGGGATACAAATCTCTAACATAATCTTACTAATATTATAAATGTGAAAGTTTAGATGGATGGATGTTTGTTAGAGTTTGTAGCCTAAACTGCTAAATGATCACGATGAAATTTGGCATAAAAATATAAAAGATAGTCTGGATGAACACATAGGCTATTGCTTTTGTTTTTTTTTTAATGAAACTAGTAAATAATAATTGTAAAACAATTTGTAATTGTCAAATTCCACCAAACAGTTTTACCAAAAAGACAATTTCAAGATGGGATCAATTTTTAATTAAGTCTTTAGCGAATGTCCATTTATTCGTTTGGTTTACTTTCAATTTATTTCGTATAATTTTGGTAAGACTTCTAAAAGGAAGAAAATTAAATAATTTTGTTGACATAATAGACATTTAAGTCCCTATTTAATTGCCAAAAACCAGTTTAAATTATTGAGGTTTTTAGCGCATATATAAATGTTTCCTGTACT